ACATCTATCCGTACTTTCCTCAAGAATTTCCTTGACTCCACCAAGTCCCTTTTCACTACTACTGCTTTTTGCACTAATTCTTCGAATGAGAGGTCTCTCCCTATAACGGTTGGACTCAAACAAGAGCTGCGGAATAAGGATAAACCTAACCTTCTGAAATTATGTAGTCCTTATAATATGTAACTTAGCGTATTCGTTTACTAGTTAGTTAAATATAACTAGAACTCCTAAAAGCACAAAGCAGGCAACATTCGAGCATTGAGTAAACAAAACCAACCATATCCAAATCAGGCCATCATATCAGCGACTAATCAGTACTAGCATGCAGTTCAATAAGCTCATACAGTAGGCATACACGACATCTTTCCTAGATCCTTAGCCCTAATCTAGCATTCAGTTCACATATTCACAACTTATATCATAACATAAACGTGTATGGGTAATTTGGGAGAACTTACTTGAGCTCGGCTGATTGCATGCACCACACCCTTTTCTCTTTTTGGAAATCATTTTTATAAAAATGATTTTCTTTTGAAAATTTTCATACCAAGTCCTCAGTTTGAGTTTAGACATACCCGGGAGTATGCCCGAATCCCTCAAACCAAGGCTCTGATACCGACTTGTAACATCCCAAAAATCATGACCAAATAAATTTCGTTTTTAAAACCATAGTTATCAAAAATCATCTCATCAAACATAAGTCATAGTATCTCAAAACCATCCATATCAAAGCATTTGTCAATATATCAGAGTAAACATCCCAGTTTAAATCATCATGGTGTGTGCAATGTAGTCATCCCGAGCTCTTCCCTTTGCTACCGGAAGTACCTGAAACCAAAACTGAAAACCGTAAGCACGAAGCTTAGTGAATTTCCCCCAAACTACCACATACCATACACATAACATGCAGCTAGGAGATTACGGTCCCCGCCCACACTCGTATATCCATGAGATATGGGCTCCGCCCACACTCGCATATCCGTGAGATACGGGCCCCACCCACACTCGCATATCTATGAGATACATGCCCCACCCACACTAGCATATCCGTGAGATACGGGCCCCGCCCACACTCACATACGTAAACAAACACATACATGTATCACACATACAACAAGTATTACGATCTACCAAACATACTACTAACCATACTCAAGTACTGATGAGATACGGGACTCACCCATACTCTATGAGATACGGGCCTTGCTCACACTCTATGAGATACGGGCCTCGCCCATACTCTATGAGATACGGGCCTCGCCCACACTCTATTAGATACGGGCCTCGCCCAAACTCTATGAGATACAGGCCTCGCCCATACTCTATGAGATACGAGCCCCGCCCACACTCAGCTAATGATGAGATACGGGCCTCGCCCACACTCACATTCCTAACTACACATAAAGGTATCACACAGACAACAAGTATTACAATCCAACAATCTGACCGATATCTATACTAAGGTAATAATGAGATCCGGGACCCGCCCACACTCCGTGTTCCTATCAAGAACATATAAACTACACGGGCCGCCATTGGTTCCTTAGACCCGTTTAATCCAGGAGGAAACTCACCTCGCACGGCTGAAGTCCCACAAATAATTCTCTGGCTGCTGGCTGACAAATCCCCGAACTGTCAATCGTCAAAACAAAACCCAATTAACCATTTGGGTTTCAATGCATAACCATAAATACACACTTAGGGTAAAAGGACCATTTTACCCCTGACCTAGCTTGGTCTAAGACCAAGGCCCGAACTCATACTCTGAAGGCCCAAAGGTCAAATAATCAACCAAGGCCCAATTATGGCCCAATTTTCCAAATTGGGCCCAATGGGCCTTACCCTAAGGCCCATCCAAATATCATAGTCCTTACACTTGTTCTCAGATGGCCCAACATGAATCCAAACACCTAAGCCCAAAAGAAAGGCCCAACTTGAAGCCCAAACATAATTAGGGGTTTCACATGAAATGACAATTAGGGTTAAGTGTTCTTCCTTAACCCATTAAGGACTTAATACATTAAGTCGATCACTCCACTAGGCTATTCATACAATGTAGTCGGACATAATTCAAAATTCCAATCTAACAGTCCAAACGCGGGACCCGGCAAATCCCAATCTAACATCTCCAAAATTAGGGTTTTCTAAACCCTAATTAGGGTTTCCACCCAAACACAAGTCAATTAGTCTAATGATTATGTTTTTAGGTCAATTATGGTTTCATTAGGTCGAGCACCACCCACTACCACCTCGGGCGGTGGTGGTCGACTGCGGCAGCCACCACCTCACGGCGGTGGTGGTTTTTCCTTCAATCCTTCCACCAAAAATGCTTAAACAAGTCCCATTCTACTAAACACACTCACAACACCATAACATACACACACAACCACCACCATACGACGACTGGTGGTGGCGAAGTGGTGGTAGACACCACCTCATGGTGGTAGCAATGGGTTTTTGGCCAGATAAAACACACGCACATACACATTCGACTTGTAGCAGCAACAGACGAATACTAACACGAAGTAGGGTCACAGAAAACACACACAACATGGCTACCCTCGAGGTGGCAGCAGCAGTCGGAGAGGAAGCAGCATCGCACCTCAGCTGCTCGGAGCGGCGGCGACAACGGCGTCTGCTGGACAGATGAGGGCGAAGGGCGGTCGGAACGACACCGACAACAGCCGAGTGCGACTGTGAGCGGCGACATAATAGAAAAAGAATAAGGAGGAGGATGGCGGAAAGGTGGCAACAGACATACCCGACAGTCACGTCGTTGACTTGCTCTCACCGAAGATAGAAGCTGCGACGCTCGGCGGCTCGACTAATCGAAAAACAAGCAAAGCGGGTGGTGACGGTTGAAGGTCTCACATGACGGTTGAGGAAAAAGTGTTAGGGTTAGGGTTACACGATGGGGAAGGGACACCGGCTTTAAGTCCCGTGTTCTTTCAAACATTCATCCCTTTTTACAAGTTTAGTCCCTCCTCTACAAAACCTTTTCAACTTAAGTCCAAAGTTTACCCTTTAGCTCCTGCCTCCAAAAATCCTTTCATAATAAGTCCAAAAATTACCAATCATACCCTAACTTCTGATATCCTTTTCAAATTAAATCCATAACTTACCAAACCGCCCTCAACCTTCAAAATTCTTTACAGACTAGTCCGGAAATTACACTCTTAACCCCTAAAGTCTAAATTATATCATTTAACCCGAAACCAATGCCTTACTAAATTATTCCGAATTTAGGGCTACTATTCATTTATTAATTTTATCTATTTATTATTTAATAAACGGAATGTTACAACTTTATAAACTTATATAATTTTATTTCAACATTTAAATTTACCTCTTAAATGTACATCAATATATAATGGGAAAATGACTTGGGAGAGTAATTACCTTTTCGTCTTGTTCACATTTAAGCAACTTCTTTTTGTACACATTTGACCATTTAGCTTGTTAAATGTGTTCGACTTCACATATTACAATTGTCACCGGCTATCGCAGGTAACAATGGTAACATGTGAACACATTTAACACGTTAAATGTTCAAATGTGTACAAAAGATAGAAATTACCTAAATATGAACAAAACGAAAAGTTAATTATCTTGATAAGCCATTTTCCCCACTTTTAATAACGATTTTATTTTTCATATTTGTTTGTATTATTTTTCTGAACATTATTTTTAAAGTATCATATTGATTGATTATTTATCTTATTTATAGTATTTTTGATTTGACAAATCAATTTTCTGGTAATTTATTTTTAGCAAAAACTTATTAACATAAATATTATTTAAATATTGATCAATTCTAAACTTTATTTTTTAATTAATAAATATGTTTTTTTGTGAAATATTTTATATAGCTTCTTATATATTTTTTTCATTTGTTTTTAAGCATATGCGATATTTTTAAATTAATTAACAATAAAATTAAATAAATTAAATATGTAATAATAAGTATGGAGAGTCTTTTAAAAAAATAAAAATAAAATATTAGTGGCAAATAAAAAAACAAAAAAATATATATAATGTAAATGTTTTAAAATTATTACAATTTTTTATACTTTTTAATTAGAAGTTTATAATTTTTTAAATATTTTTGAATACAACGTTCTAAACTAGTATTTAACGAAAGTATTTTGTAATGTTTTAAAAAGTATTAAATTGTCATACAAAATCTATGAAATACTTTAAAAATGTTGTAAAAGAAAGTTTAGAAATAATTGTATGAAAGTTATAAAAAAAATTGTATGAAAGTTATATAAAAAATTGTATGAAATGTAAAAAAAAATTAAAAAGTTGTAAGAAAAATTTAAAACATTTAGAAAATATTTGGTTTAAAAGCATTTGTATGAAAATTATAAAAAAAGTTTAAAAAAATAATAAGCAAAGTTTAAAACATTGTATTAGAAAAACCTATAAGAAAAAAAAATATAATAAAAATATTGTAAGAAATTATAAAAAGTCTTAAAAATTTTGTAAAAAAAATTGTTCACATTTAGACAATTATTTTTACGTATTTGATTATTTAACTTGTTAAATGTGTTTATTACTGACACCTGAGATAACATAACATGTGACAATGATAATGAACATATGTAAAATATCACTTTCAGACAACAACAATTTCTGCCCCTTACCTTTCATATATTGACAAATTTAAAAGTTTTATCCCTAAAATTTCATTTGTCCACAAATTTGGTCCCCTACAAAACGGGGGTAATACCATTATAGTTTGTCACAATTAAAAGAAAATTTATTAACGACGCGAGGTTGAGGGGTAGAATTTTACGGTGGTATAGTTCAGGGACGAAACTAGTAGTTTATTAAAAGTAAGAAAAAAAAAAAAAGACATGTACTTGGTTGTTCTCATCGATGTCAGGGGTCTAAACACATTCTGTTAGCAGACGGACGGATCCGGCCCCCGCCACACTGTCTCAATCCGTCAATCGTTTACAGTTTTGTTGAATTTTGATTACGATTCGGCGAAAACAATGTCCGGTGGCAGCGGCGGTGGCAGTGGTGGTGGCGGTCCTTCACTCATGGACTCCCTCTTCCAACGCACCCTCGACGATCTAATCAAAGGTATCCGTCTTCATACTCCTGGCGCCGCTCAATCGTCCTTCATCTCGAAATCTGTAGATGAGATCCGCCGTGAAATCAAATCGACAGACTTACAAACCAAATCCACTGCTCTCCAGAAACTCACTTACCTCCACTCCCTGCACGGCTTCGACATGTCCTGGGCCGCCTTCCACGCCGTAGAACTCACCTCCTCCCCTTCTTTCGCCCATAAAAAAACCGGTTATCTGGCCGCGTCCCTTTCCTTCCGTCCTTCCACCGAGGTCCTCCTCCTCCTCACCAATCAGCTCCGCAAAGACCTCTCCTCTACCAACCAGCATGAGGTAAGTCTCGCCTTAGAGTGCCTTTCCGTCATCTGCACGGCGGATTTTGCACGTGATTTAACTCCGGATATCTTCACTTTGTTGACTTCTAGTAAGAATTTCATTAGAAAGAAATCAATTGCGTGTTTATTGATGATTTTTAGCCAATATCCTGATGCTGTTAGGGTTTGTTTCAAACGTTTAGTCGAGAATTTAGAGAGTACTGATAATGCCCAAACACTTGCTGCTACTGTTGGTGTATTCTGTGAGCTTGCTAGTAAAGAACCAAGAACATATCTCCCTCTTGCACCTGAATTTTATAGGATTTTAGTTGATTCAAGGAACAATTGGGTGCTGATCAAGGTTTTGAAAATCTTTGCGAAACTTGCTAAATTAGAGCCTAGGTTAGCAAAGAAGGTGGTCGAACCGATTTGTGATCATATGAAGCGCAGTGAGGCCAAATCTCTGGTGTTTGAATGTGTGAGAACTATTGTGAGTAGTTTCTATGAGTACGAGTTTGCTGTGAAACTTGCTGTATCAAAAATCAAAGAGTTCTTACTGGATACTGATTTAAATCTCAAGTATCTTGGATTACAAGGGCTGTTACTTGTTGCACCAAATCACTTATGGGCTGTGTTGGAGAACAAAGAGGTTGTAATAAAATCTTTGAGTGATGTTGACCGAAACATAAGGCTGGAAGCATTGAGGCTTGTGATGTCAATGGTTTCTGATGATAATGTCAATGAAATCTGCAGGGTTTTGATTGGCTATGCTCTCAAATCGGATCCCGAGTTCTGTAACGAAATTCTAAGGTCAATGCTATCAACATGTTCTAGAAATGTATACGAAATCATCAACGATTTTGATTGGTATGTGTCACTTCTTGGGGAAATGGCAAGGATTCCACATTGCCAAAATGGAGAAGAAATAGAGTATCAGTTGATAGATATTGGCATGAGGGTGAAAGATGTTAGACCAGAGCTTGTTCGTGTGGCTCGTGATCTATTGATTGATCCTGCTTTACTTGGGAATCCTTTCATTCACAGGATATTATCTGCAGCTGCTTGGGTGTCAGGTGAGTATGTTTGGTTTTCAAAGAACCCATTTGAGATCATGGAAGCATTACTACAACCACGCACTAATCTCTTGTCTCCATCAATCAGAGCTTTATATATTCATTCTGTATTTAAAGTCCTAAGCTTTTGCCTTCATTCTTTTCTCTTACCCCACAAACCTGCAACTTCTTCTTCTTCAAAGCTTGTTGATGAACCAGATTTCACATATTCAGAATCTGAAGAGGAAGCAAATGTTGATCTTGCTACAACTTCTTCAAGTTTGTCCAAAAAGAATGCATTTACACGGGAGTCAATGGTAAACATGTTGGCTCTTGTTTTAACATCTCTAAGCCCATTGGCTGAAAGCCATGATGTCGAAATACAAGAAAGGGTGCGGAATGTTTTAGGGTTAGCTCAATTGGCACAAGAAGAGATATCTTGTGATCTTGATAACAAAGAAAAGATAATTGATGGGGTTGCTTTAAAAACATCAAATCTCATCAGATTAATCAATGATGCACTCTCAGAGGATCTTGGTCCAGTTTCATCAAGTGCTCAAGAAAGGGTTCCCATCCCAGATGGGTTACTCCTCGAGGACAATCTTGGAAAATTGGACACAATATGTGCAGATGTTCAGTTACCAATAAGTGAATCCTTTTCTCTTGTAAAGCCTGTTTTGACAGATGTTGATTCTGTTTCCATCAGACAGAATGAAGAATCATCTGAAACATCTGCTGCTGAATCTACATCTCTACTTTCTGAGCATCGAAAACGACATGGAATTTTTTATCTTCCTTCTGATAACAATCAAAATGCATCCACAAGTTTCCCACCTGCAAATGACCCTAATGAGAGAGATAATGATGTGGAAGATCTTGTCAGGCTTACAGAAGAATCTTTAGTTCTTAAAAGGAAGTCAAATCTAAGTAGGCCAAGGCCTGTTGTGGTCAAACTGGATGAAGGAGATAGGCTTCCTATCACAAGGGCAAAAACGGAATCAAATGATGATTTGATATCTGGAGCTGTGCGGGATGTTCTTTTGGGTGATGAAAATTCACCACCAGCACCAGCACCACATTCAAAAGTTGAGAAATCTGAAATTGGTGATTCCAGTAGAAGAAAAAGCAAACATCGTAAAGAAAAAAAGCATCAAAATGTTGAAGAAAGTAAACAGAAAAGTGGTGGGCGTCATGGAAGGCATAAAGCTAGACAAAGAGCTGATGAAGGCATCAATGTGGCTGTTCAAATTCAAAAGCCAGTAATTCCTGATTTCCTTTTGTAGACATTTTACTAGAAGACATCAAGGTGAGTTTACTTTTTAGAGTTCTTGTACTATTTATTTATGCTTGTATACTTTTTTTCTTTTCAAGATATGAGTTGTGGAGTTTTGGTTTGTTATGACAGTTTTTTTGTGTTGATGGATAATGGATTTGATTGTAAGACATTATACCATTTCTTTTTGAATATTACATGTCTTCTTATTTGTGTTTAAATGTGACAAGTTGCTAGTAAAATCGTGTTTCTCCTGATATTTGTTGTATTAATTATTTTGTCTCATGAATTTTTCTATGTATCATACGTATTTTTCATATTACAAGTGCATAATTTTAACTCCGTTCTGTACGTTATTTCGTCATCATTAGTTTTTTAGTAAAATAAAAAAATTAAACATAACGAAAGCATAATAAAGCTCAAATAAGATATAATAAAATATATTTTCTTGTTAATTTCAGGAAACTTGATTATAATTCAATTAAAGTTTCTGAAATTCTTTAAAAGAAATCAATGTAATTAACAAGAAGTCACAATACCCCAATCCCATAAGGTTGTTGTGGGGTAAGGGGACTCTATGAGCCAACATTCGGATCCTTATAACATAGTAATTTTATCATTCCATTCCGTGATGCAAATGAAAGAACACCTGAATGGGAATTAACAAAATGGAAGGAATCACATCCCTACTAGAATTGTCTATCGCATTCCATTCCATTAAATAATGTGACATGGCAAGCACTTGACAATTTTTATCTTTTTTTACATGGAAGCAATGATGTGTTGTCGATTATATTATAAAGGTAAATGGTACCAAAGTTGAAGATATATCAGGTATACTGAGTTGAGGACATTGATCTCTTGTCTGTGCAAAAGACATGAATGCCCTCCTCGTCTTCATAATCTAGCATTACCCTACAAAGGTAGCCCCTTCCCATCTAGTAACAAACAGCATTTGTAATGATGTTACTAATAAATTTGCAACCTAACATATATTAAGTATCAATCTAACTATTTGGTGTCACGCAACTTGTTTCTATACATGGAAAGCTAGAAGGTTAGTTTTTCCAATAATTTCAATTTTATGATTCATTATGAATCATGGTTACCAATTTTAATAATTGTATATATCGGTTTATTTTTTTGCAGTTATGAGGTGTACTTAAAGACAATGATTGGATAATTAGTTGATTATGGTTGTTCTGCATTCCATTGCCCCCCAAAATACTAAAGGTTAGTTTTTCCCTAGTGTTTGGTGTGATGGAAATGGTTTATTCCATTCTTGAATATATTTTTGTTAATTTTCATTCATATTCACTCGCGGTGTGTTTTGTTTTGTTTTTTATTTTTCCATTATGGAATGGAATGAAAATTTGCAGTATATAACCCATTTTTATGTTTTTAATTTCTGTTGTTGTTTTTTATTATATGATTAAGTTACATAAAAGTTTTGTTAACTATAGTTAAAATTATGTAGAGATTTAGAGTTAGAGTTATATATTGTCCTTTCAAATACCATAAAAAGTTCATTCGATTCCTACAAGCCAACCAAAAAAATAATGGAATGTAATGAAAACTTTCATTCTTTCGTCTTTCCCAACGGAGCTACAAAAGTTAAGAATTCTGAAATTGGTGATTCAGGTAAAAGAAAATGCAAACATGATGAAGAAAAAAAAGCATAGAAATTTAGGCAAAAATATTGAGGAAAGAGAAGAAAATGGTGAGACAAACAAACAAAATAGTAGTGGGAGGGATTTTGATTGTAATATATTATAATACTAGTTATGGTTTTGTATTATTTTTATTAATGTCAGAACAACACATGTTTTTTTGTATTTAGATATGCCAGTTTGCTAATATTATCTTGTTTCTCTTGATATTCTTGTTGTATCATCAATTTTCACTCATAGTTTTAGTAAATAATTATGTTTGGTTTGGCTCTTTCCTTCTATTTTGTGCAACTGTAGTGTTTGGTGTGACAAAATCAAGGAAAGAATAGAATGAAAAAACACCGTTTATTACATTTGATGAATTGGGGTGGATTGGAATGAACCATTCTTGTAAGAAAGATAATTCCTTCCAATTTCTTAATTTCATTTCAAATAAATTGAGATTATGCATTTAATGGTTGCTGGTTTGATACATTTTTTTTGCAGAAAAAAATAAAGCAGTTGACCCCTCGGGTTTCTAGACATGAATCATGTCCAAATAACAAAACCTACGACTATGCTTCTAACTCTTTGATTTTCTATGAATATCCAAATTTCTCAAAATATTGGTATGCCATTAATCAGAAGTTAACGTACATAGTGCAAAACTGGAAACAACTCGTGGCAGGGTCTGAAAATGGCGATTTTGAGTCTCAAGAAATGTTAGTGTCTTGCATCGGTCACAAGTAGTCCCCATGCTATGCCTATATGCCAACATAGTCCTCTTGATTTCCATTGTGATAATAGCTTTTTAAAATTGGGTATGCTGACTGAACTTATTTTGTAGCTTTGCTAATGAAAGAGGTTTTACATCTCTATATTCAACTAAATATATGGATCATTTTCTTTTACTTATTACATTCCTCCTTCCTCCACACACAGGACAAGACTCAATAGAATAGGCGTTAATTGTATTGGAACTGAGATTGATGTCAATCGGATAAAAGTTGCACTTTTTGTCCATGGTAAAACCATGGGACATCTTTTGTCTGTGCAAACTTCAAAATCTTATCATCAAAAATAGCAATAGAAAGTTTGTCCAATGGTGTATACTTATGTCTTGTCTCATGTAACAAACACAATCTTAAACACTCCGACTTCTTTTTTGGTATTATAGTAATCTCCAACAAGTCTTTCTATAGTTCGAGAGTAAGAAGTGGAACTAGAAGTAAGCTTTCTTTTATCTTTCCAATTTGTTTTCATCAACTTCCACTTGCTTTCCTCTTGACCATTGATATCTTATAATGTGTTGTTACCATAGAGCTTTAACACTTTCGTACTTTGATAACTTCACTTAATACAATATTTTCTCATTATGTTTGGAATTAACCAAATTGCATAGCTTTTGTTGGTATCATAATTTATTCCTTCTACTTGAGGTTGTGTTTGTTACACTGTACTTGACTTGATGGTACAAAACAAGCTTTTATGGCTATTTTTCGATGATGAGGACGAGAAGACAATTTACGTCTTTTGCATAAACGATAGATTGGCGATGAATATCATTCCCACCTTACATCTAAAAAAAAAAAAATTTGTCCATTGACATTTGTCCCAATCCTTTGCATCGAAAACACACTTTAAGGACATCTTGTCCTGTCTAGTTGTGTCGTGCATTCTAGTTGTGTCGTGCATAACAAGAGAGACTTTAGCTTGCAAGTGTAACATAGTAATAAAATAACACCAAATGGAAGTCGTTGTAATATTTTGGGCATAAAAGTATATGTTTGTGATAAGGGTCATAAACGCTTATGAAGTAACTATGCAACCATCCTTATAATATGCACTTGGCCTATTAGATGATTTGTTATTAATAGTTTAGTGATAGTTAGTACGTCTTATATCTTATATTTTCCATTCACATTTAAGTTTGTGTATAAATACATTAGTTGGGAGATCAATAAACATCAAGGAATTACATATTCTATCATGGTACCATGAGCTTTCAAGATCCCTCTTTTGTATGTAGATCAATCATGCTGACTCTTTTTAGGAACTGCTTCCAATTTTTGGTCTAGACAAATGTTTCAATCAAGTAATAAAGAACACAAATAGGTATTTTTTAAACTAAAACTTTATTATCAAGGCTAGCTTTGATAACAAATTTTGATTATGAACACACTCTTCACCGAAAACATTCACATAGCAAGATATCGTCGATATATAACTAAAGACCTATAAACCCTAGCTTAACACACGCTGAAACCAATAGTGACAACGTTAGCTGTAGTGACAACTTTTGACTCATCAAATCAAGTTAACACCAATCTATACTAAAGAAAGACTCTTTATAATTTAGAGAGTATATGTTTACAAAAATACTAAAAGACCTTGACTTGCAGCATAACCTACACAATTTTCATATTCTTCAACTTCACTTATGAGTTCATGCTTGACATGAACAAAAGGGCAATTATCCTTTGTTCTCTTCTAACTTTTCTCTTCTTTTGTTCATTTCAATAGAAGCAAATTTTGGAACCCTTTAGCATTCTTGACACCCATACACAACTCTCGTAACTTGAATAAGTGAGCCGTAGGAGTTCTTGGTAAATCTAAATTTCTCATGAAGCACATAAACCCATTTATGTATTTATAGAAGATTCCAAACTCAGAATCAGTCCGCTTATAACATCAGATACGACACTAATAGACAACTTGTTGATTTCCACAACTCCATTGGAAGTAATGCATCCAAGACTCATCAATAATACGCTCAGATCTTCTTCTTTGCCTTGGAGTTCTTGAAGGATTTTTTTTGGAAATAGCTTGAACTAACTTCAACTTTTGAACATTTTCAATCATATTAGATAAAGTTGTTCTCAGTTCTTGACACAAAGTCCCTTTGTAACTGGAAGTAACTTCCAGAAATTTTTCTCATTCCTGTATTTTACTAAGTTTGACACAAGCAACTGTTCTGAAAATACATATGGACCACCAGCTCAAGTAAGATGCACAATCAAAATCGTGCAAAATTTAGGTTTTGTGCACCCAACCTTAAGAATTTTATCAGCTAAGATTGTTTTGGTGGAAACATCATGATACTTAGCAATGTTGGCTCTCTGATTAATTTCTTCCAACTTTTCTCCTCTTTGAATCATTTCAAAAAAAAAAATTCTTTGAATTGATTCTTGTTGCTTAAGGATCCTTAGAGTCACAATGTATTGAATCAATTCATGGATGCTTCTTTTAGTAACCATCTCATTTAACTTGACCTTATTATACTCCTTAGTAATCACTCTAGCCTTTTCTATAGGAACACCCAAATCAATTGAAATAATTTTGAAAATCCTCCCCAAACAAC